GTTCATTTAGATCACGTGTCTTCCATAACTTGTCAAGAAAAATGTCAATCTTACTAGAGTCATCATCAAGGTAGTTGGGATGAATTAATCTCGCATTGAATGCAGTATGGTGGAATGAAGAACAATTCAACATGCGTATTCCACGTCAAGACTGGACGAGTCTTGTGCTCGGGGAACGTTGTAGACTTTCGAAAACTGCAACAGTCAAACAGACATAAATGTGACTTCATTGCTTCATTATCGTTGGCAGACAATGAAAATACAACTAACTGCATACTTGAACCTGCAAAGCTATCTGCTTGGTTTAGCCGAGTCTACATATATTTTACTCTGAATGCACTTGTTCAGATTTATTCAGATATTAAAATGCACTCAGCATGTACATATGAAGCATGGTTCACATGTAAGATAACTATGAAGTAGAAAATTCTTGTTAAAGCCAATTACCTAAGGTCAATCTATATTGCTTCATCATTTTCCATGATCAGTCTCCAGAGAAGGTGTATTTCAATATCTGAATATAACTAATATATATATAATAATTAACATATAAGCTACGTTAAACAACACGCAACCGGAACATTGCCAGCACTTGGTTGAAAATGGACTTTACGAAAGCTAGAGCAGTTTTGTGAAATTGTGGATAAATGAAAGCCTAGGGGAAAATTTCAGATAAATGAGTTATATACTTTTACTAACCTTTCCTAAATATACCATACTGTATGGTGGCCTTCCAACTATTAATTATATCATCGGTGATTGTTATTGGGTTCTCTATCCAGAACTCTGGGTAGATGAGGCCAGGATAGTCCTATAGGTGCTGACCAACTGGGAATTCAGCGAGTTGACATCTTAAATTCAGTAGAAAAATAAATGATATAACTGGAATATGTTAGGACTTACCAAATAAATTGCCAGCTACGCATTTGAACAATGCTTACCAAATGTTTGGGAAGAATTCGTTCGAGAGAAATTGTGTGAGAATCAAGTTATCAATCTTTACGTATTGAATTCTAAGTAGCACAGTCATTATTCAGATTTACCATTTGTTATGAGAGATATAGATTTGGAGGCATATACGATATACAAGGCATGAACGAAGCAACTATGATTACGATCCGTATTACAATACACCCTTAACCGCCGCCCATTTACACTCACGAGAAACGACGCAAGTGGACTTCTCATCACGCCGACCATTACCACCGCTACTACGCCGCTACTAACTAGACGACACTCACGGCTCGCTTTTTCGGACTCTTCAGTATGAACTGCGATGGGAAAGGTCGTCGTACGGTGGCCTGCGAAGGGAGGTGCTCCCATCTGGTCCATGTAGCTGCTACCGTAGGGTCCTGCCTAATACACCGGCAAATAGGAGAGAAAGGAAGATGCGAGGCATTACGGCATGCGTACAAGCGTCAACAAGTGAACGCGCGCATCAATGGTCGCCTGGAGGCGATGACGACGTGAAGTACTGATCAGCGATTCTCTCCCCAATTAATGTGATACACATGCAGGCAGCTCAGAACACGTCGGGCGAAATAATAAAATCTAAATTAGTCTTAACATTAGACTTAAAGGGACAGTAGCCTCTATGATTTTACTGCATACAACTGTACTTACTGTATAACAAATCGTCTATACCCA